AGAGTGGATACCAAATGAAGGCGAGTTTCTCCAACTAAAATTCCTGCTAATTTGGGAGACAGATTTGGAGCACTGGAGAGCTAACAAGACCCATTTTCCACGTCTGGAGCACCTAATCCTCAGGCAGTGCTCGAATTTGGTAGAGATCCCATCTAATATTGGTGAAATACCGACACTTGAAACAATTGAGATAGATCACTCTAGTCCTTCCACTGTGAATTCAGTGAAGAAAATACTGGAAGACCAACGAAGCTTGGGAAACGATGGCCTCAAAGTTTTCGTCCATCCAACAAAAACAAAAGTCTATCCACTAAAATTTGGGGTAATTAAATTCCTCAGCCTATATTTGTGTTTTACTTTCTTAATTTTTAGATACATCAGACCACATATTAATTGACTTCCAACAGATCCGGCAACATGAATCAGGAGGCTATTATAAACCCGAAACCAAAATTGATCGATTGAAGGTAAATCACTTCCTTGACCAATAACTATATCTTACTTCCTTAGCTTTTAGATACATGAAGCAAAATTTTTAGATACATGAAGCAAAATTGTCATAAAAAAATTAGGATCCATTCTGAAGTAGAGTAGCTTCATTTTAGTTAATAGTTGAAAAATATCATTGTCGTCTAGTTCACAAGTCTCAATTAAGCAACTACTCACCAAGGATTATTTATTGTCAGGCCAATGCGAACTCTAGAAGTGATGGTGGTAGCAGCTCCAATATTAATGAATTAAAGCTCACGGATTACTTGGACCAAAACTCTCTTTCTCCAGGACCATAAATGCCTTTTTGAGTTTCGTCACTTGTACAATTGCACTTTGTTTGTAATTATTGAGATTGCATTTTACTTTTAAAGGGTTTTTAGTTTTGGATTGTACTATGTTATCCTGATTGTTCCGTGAATAATGTTACTTTGCCAGAAGCCTAGGTGGCGAAAAGTGATTTGATGGAAAAGATGACTGTTTTTCAAACAGTCCAATGATAGAGTGCCATATGACACTATATCAACCATTATTTCAAGTATTCTGGCATTGTAGCATGATTGTTGATTTGTACGACATTATTGATTTCACTCTTCTTCACAGCATTTTACCTTTGTTAAACAATTGATTCAGCATTTGATGTGTTGTGCTAAAGTTCCAAGTTTTGTGATTTCCTGTTGGTATATTTATCTTTCTATTGAGCAATAAAACTTCTTTAATTGTTTCACTCAACAAAATGTGTGCACTTTCTTATGATCCTGTCTTGTGGTG